AGTCAAGTAGAAACAGTCAAAATATTTTATCAGATTTTCTCAATTTTTGCATGATATTTTCATACAGGACATCTGTTGTTCAAACTCAGGGAAGACTTTATACTGATGAATAAGGTGACCAAGTTTGATAAAGTTTGGAATAGAATTAGTAAAGTTATTATGCACACAATAACAATTATTAACGACGATGACGACAACAACAACAACAACGACGACAACGCCGGACAAAATTTTTCGCTTAATATACCTTTCCCTTCCATCTTTGATGGTACGGGCAAGGTAATCATTACAAAATGAACAAATCTGAGAGAGATCCACATGTTGTACCTATATATGTAATATCAAAGCAATTGGACTTGCGGTTTTTAACAAGAAGTCGAAAATATCACTTTTTACCAAAAATGACAAAAAATATTCACCAAAATTAGAGAATTGAAGATATCATCACAAAATGAACAAATCTGAGAGAGATCCACATGTTGTACCTATATATGTAATATCAAAGCAATTGGACTTGCGGTTTTTAACAAGAAGTCGAAAATATCACTTTTTACCAAAAATGACAAAAATATTCACCAAAATTAGAGAATTGAAGATATCATCACAAAATGAACAAATCTGAGAGAGGTCCACATGTAGTACCTATATATGTTATATCAAATCAATTGGACTTGTGGTTTTTAACAAGAAGTCAAAAATATCATTTTTTACCAAAAATTACAAAAATGACTTGAAGATATCATCATGAAATGAACAAATCTGAGAGAGGTCTACCCAAGGTACATATACAACAAGTATCAAAACATTCAGGCTTGTAGTTTTCAAGAAAAAGTCGAAAAAGTAAAACATTGACACGAACGACGGGCGACGGACGACGAACAATCACTCATATGATAAGCTCCGCTCGACAAAGTCGACAGCGGAGCTAAAAATAGAGAAAATGACAATATTTCTACTTTTGTATAGCATTCTACGTTAATTATATATCTACAGTCCCTAGAGCATTATGCAGTGTGGGTTAACAGCAGCAGCAGAGGACATTCATTTACTAGTCTTTCAGTATTGATTTGACTGTAGCTTCTTATCTACAAATTTATATTTTGTCCTTCTTCATCACCGTGTATAAAGAAACAAGAAGTCGAAAATATCACTTTTTACCAAAAATGCCAAAAATTTGAGAATTGAAGATATCATCATGAAATGAACAAATCTAAGAGAGATCTACCCAAGGTACATATACACCAAGTATCAAAGCATTCAGGCTTGTAGTTTTCAAGAAGTCGGAAAAGTAAAACATTGACACGGACAACGACAATCAATCACTCATATGATAAGCTACGCTCGACAAAGTCGACAGCGGAGCTAAAAATAGGTTTCTCAAAAGTGCCCTAGAATCAAAGTCCATATAATTTGCATAAAACTGGAGCTAAAACATCTCTGCATACAACTACTTGATGATCTGATGGAACCCTTTGCTTGTGAAATCAACTGTCACATACATACATGTAGTATCTTAGCAAGTCAGGAACCTGCTACATTTCAACTTACATGTTTGCCAGTGATTGTGAAGAATCTTAAAATAATGATAGCAACTCCAAAGGCATAGCTGAACTGATTCTAAAAATACATAAAAACAATAATTAGTAAGACAGTTATAGAGTCTCAGTAACACCATATAATTGTATTTCATTCAACACATTTTTTTTTGGAAAGGTTCATAATATTAAACATATCGAAACTAGTACAACCTTAGCCTTTGATAAATAACAAATGAATGGATACAAACAATGTACAATTTTTTCTTTGCATGGTAAAATTGAGTATAAAAGTTCTGAAACAATGCAATAATATATCTAAGAATTTTGTGTGAAAAATACTGCACAAATTTAGGTGTGAGCAATTCTGACCAAAAAAAGACATAGACTAGCCAGATTTAGCAGGAAATGTAAACTGTACTTGTCACTTTTTTTATTTCTACTCATAACATCATACAAAACTTATCTAATTGACAGATATTGGAGAACATCTGGTTCTCATTATCATCAATATAAATGTCTTCGTTCTGTTCAATTAATTCTCTAACAAATGTTTTATTTCAGAATGTTATGAAATTGAAAACAAGTAGTGTATTGTTTTTTTCTTTTGAACTATTATATATTCTGTATATCATTATTATTTCTATATGGCTGTAATAACATTTATTTTATGGAATAAAAAGAAGACTTACTGCAAGGGTGAACTGCAAAACTATCCAAATAACTCCCAAGACAGTGACTAACAACTCATAACGATTTCGACGGCTCTGCCAATAGCCCGTTATTGTCATACAGATTATCTTTAAAATGACCTCAATAACAAATATAAATGTGAATGCCACTGATGTTGAAGCCAAGACAAATGTTCTGTGACCATTATCACTGTCCCACTGTAAGTTGAAAGTAAAAAAGTTAATACAACAACAAGGATAGATAGTTTATAGATGTATCTTTCCTTTCATTTATGATACAGTCAAGATAATAAAATAAATGAATTTGTCTTGATCTCTATTGAATATATGTGAACCAGATATGTAGTGTCTAATTTTTGAAACTATGGATTCCTTTATGTGTTAATTCCATCAACAATTTAGATATTTTATCAGCATTTTTTTGCTTGACACATACTCCAAATCAAATTATAAAAAAAAAAAATCCATGGAAGACTGTCACCATTGTAAATAAATAACCATTCATACACCTATACCTGAACAGAAAGCAGGAAGAAATTAACAATAACAAGCAGGGCAATACACTTCTTAAAATACTTATGTTGGGTGAAATCATAGACCTTGGCTCGCATTGGATAGGCATCTGAAAATACAGAAACAGAAGTGAGATAAATGATTATACATGTCTGCATTGCAATACAAAAACTTGTCATGGTACTTTCAATGGATAAACTACCTGGTCTTGGTGGAATATGTAATGGCTGAGCAAGCTGTAGTCTGCCTTTCAAGTCTTGCCATCGTCTTTGATCAACTGTTAATAATGCTGTACCCTGTGCATACATAAAGACAACACTGTCATTGTAATTCACTGAATTTCCAATACGAATGCATACCACTTAAACACATTGCATGATGGGAAATAAAAAAAACTTGGAACTATTGTGTGCTGAGGGTGGCATTATATAGTAAAAATTGTGAATTTTAGAAATGTGCATATATATTTTTATATGAACACATTCTGTCAAATACCATCGTCACCCTCTAAGCTTTATAAGTGGCATCACAAGGTTTCTCATTTGCTCAACTTTAGGAGTCTTTATATTGCATATATGGAATACTGCCATCAGTGTCCTTTGATGTTACCAATTTCAAGCTGATGAAGTGAATACAAAATAAATTCATACAATGTAGTTTCTTCTTACCTTGTTTTCAAAGAAGTTTGAAATGACCACGCCAACAAAGAGTGTTAACCCAATCATACAACCAATAAACACAAACGTGTGAATGTAGATGGTTTCCCACTGTAACACAATGAAAATAACCAATCACAAAACATATTTCATACACACGTGAGCATTAATAATAATAATAATAATAATAACCTATTCTGATTTGCTCCATCTTACCAGGTTAGTTTGTCGGATGATGATATCCCGGACCTCTAACCAACCTTCCAAAGATAAAACTTCAAACAATCCTATCATAGCACTCCCTAGATCATCAAAGTTCCAATTCCTTGGATTTGACCTGATATATTAAATAAATAACATGAAAAGCAAACTAACAAATACAACAGCATATTTCTTTAAATCCGAACACTATACACAACATACATGTCTTGGATTTACACACACGTCTTACATTTGTCTGGTTTTACAGTAACATAATGAGCTATATAAGCTTTAATATTTCAGTTCAGGGTTTGTTCTTTTTGAATAATGAAGAATTAAAAATAATATGGATGACCACTCCAGAGAATAAATGGTAAAGTGATAGAGTTGAGAACCAAATATTGCAACATAATAGAAAGTGTTTGCTCACCAAACTCTTGGCACCACCATTGATGGATATGTCTCATTTTTGTCCCATAAAATTCTACTTGGAAATTTTCTATAACTGACAACCTGAAAAAAATTACCAACACACTCCTCCTGCAACAAATAAGATGGCATTCATTTATTATTATTATTATTATTATTATTATTATTATTATTATTATTATTCATACCAAGATTACTAATACTGGTGTGATGGTGTAAGTTTGACACTCTCTTATTTTTCAATTCCCAAAATACTTATATACATATATTTGTACAATTTATTTAGATCTGAGCATAAAATCCTATTTATGTAAGAATTTTTGCTTGATGGAACCTAAAAACTGCAACCAGTTGTGCACAGGTGGCTTCTGGGTACCAACTAAATAAATATTCAGTTTTATCACCAGATAGCAAAAAGTAATGTGTAAATCAGTTTTATCACCAGATAGCATATAGTAATGTGTAAATCAGTTTTTAATTGAATCATTACATTCTGTGTTGACTGGTGTACATATACTGAGAAAAACACTGTCTTACTGGTTATCTTCTACAATTTATTTTTTTTTAATTTATTTTCGACCTAATATTAAGAAGCAGGGAGAATACTCACTTTAGTTGAGATGTTTCTGTCATTACAACGTGCTAATTTATCACCCAATATCTGTACTCCGTAACTAGCAAAAATAAACATAAATGCTAACAATAAAACAGATACAAGGGTGATTTCCCGGAACCCACGGCATAGTTCATGTACCACTCTTCTCATGTGAGGTACCAATATAAAAATACGAAGTGGACGTAAACATCTCAAAACCATTAGAATCTAAAACAAAGCAACATTAAGTGTTTCTCAGGTCAGTAAGATTAAACTCAAACATTATGAATTGTGTCAATCAACATCAATAATCTTTGGAGTGAAATAGAAGCAAAGTAAGGCACGACTGACATTCGCCAAGTTCACAATAAAAATAAGTCACCATGGGTCACAGCATGCACATGAGTCAAGTAGTGGGTACACATGTCCACCAATGCATCATGGGTGCAATAATCTCACATGTCCAGCAATGCAGCATGGGTACCTTTTAGCAATGCAGCGTGGGTACCTTTTAGCAATGCAGCATGGGCACACAAATCCAGTAATCTGGGTACATGTCCAGCAATGCAGCATGGGTACCTTTTAGCAATGCAGCATGGGTACCTTTTAGCAATGCAGCATGGGTACCTTTTAGCAATGCAGCATGGGTACCTTTTAGCAATGCAGCATGGGTAGCTTTCAGTAATGCAGCATGGACACACAAATCCAGTAATCTGGGTACATGTCCAGCAATGCAGCATGGGTACCTTTTAGCAATGCAGCATGGGTACCTTTTAGCAATGCAGCATGGGTACCTTTTAGCAATGCAGCATGGGTAGTTTTCAGTAATGCAGCATGGGCACACAAATCCAGTAATCTGGGTACATGTCCAGCAATGCAGCATGGGTACCTTTTAGCAATGCAGCATGGGTAGCTTTCAGTAATGCAGCATGGGCACACAAATCCAGTAATCTGGGTACATGTCCAACAATGCAACATGGGTACCTTTTCGCAATGCAGCGTGGGTACCTTTTAGCAATGCAGCGTGGGTACCTTTCAGCAATGCAGCTTGGGTACCTTTTAGCAATGCAGCATGGATACCTTTTAGCAATGCAGCATGGGTACCTTTTAGCAATGCAGCTTGGGTACCTTTTAGCAATGCAGCATGGGTACCTTTCAGTAATGCAGCATGGGCACACAAATCCAGTAATCTGGGTACATGTCCAGCAATGCAGCATGGGTACCTTTTAGCAATGCAGCGTGGGTACCTTTTAGCAATGCAGCGTGGGTACCTTTCAGCAATGCAGCTTGGGTACCTTTTAGCAATGCAGCATGGGCACACAAATCCAGTAATCTGGGTACATGTCCAGCAATGCAGCATGGGTACCTTTTAGCAATGCAGCGTGGGTACCTTTTAGCAATGCAGCGTGGGTACCTTTCAGCAATGCAGCGTTGGTACCTTTTAGCAATGCAGCTTGGGTACCTTTTAGCAATGCAGCATGGGTATCTTTTAGCAATGCAGCATGGGTAGCTTTCAGTAATGTAGCATGGGCACAAAAATCCAGTAATCTGGGTACATGTCCAGCAATGCAGCATGGGTACCTTTTAGCAATGCAGCGTGGGTACCTTTTAGCAATGCAGCGTGGGTACCTTTCAGCAATGCAGCGTGGGTACCTTTTAGCAATGCAGCTTGGGTACCTTTTAGTAATGCAGCATGGGTACCTTTTAGCAATGCAGCATGGGTAGCTTTCAGTAATGCAGCATGGGCACACAGATCCAGTAATCTGGGTACATGTCCAGCAATGCAGCATGGGTACCTTTTAGCAATGCAGCATGGGTAGCTTTCAGTAATGCAGCATGGGTACCTTTTAGCAATGCAGCGTGGGTACCTTTTTAGCAATGCAGCATGGGGAGCTTTCAGTAATGTAGCATGGGCACAAAAATCCAGTAATCTGGGTACATGTCCAGTAATGCAGCATGGGTACCTTTTAGCAATGCAGCATGGGTAGCTTTCAGTAATGCAGCATGGGTACCTTTTAGCAATGCAGCGTGGGTACCTTTTTAGCAATGCAGCATGGGTACCTTTTAGCAATGCAGCATGGGCACAAAAATCCAGTAATCTGGGTACATGTCCAGCAATGCAGCATGAGTACCTTTTAGCAATGCAGTGTGGGTACCTTTCAGCAATGCAGCTTGGGTACCTTTCAGCAATGCAGCATGGGTAGCTTTTAGCAATGCAGCATGGGTAGCTTTCAGTAATGCAGCATGGGCACACAAATCCAGTAATCTGGGTACATGTCCAGCAATGCAGCATGGGTACATTTTAGCAATGCAGCATGGGTAGCTTTCAGTAATGCAGCATGGGTACCTTTTAGCAATGCAGCATGGGAACACAAATCCAGTAATCTGGGTACATGTCCAGCAATGCAGCATGGGTACCTTTTAGCAATGCAGCATGGGTACCTTTTAGCAATGCAGCATGGGTACCTTTTAGCAATGCAGCATGGGTAGCTTTCAGTAATGCAGCATGGGCACACAAATCCAGTAATCTGAGTACATGTCCAGCAATGCAGCATGGGTACCTTTTAGCAATGCAGTCTGGGTACCTTTCAGCAATGCAGCTTGGGTACCTTTTAGCAATGCAGCATGGGTAGCTTTCAGTAATGCAGCATGGGCACACAAATCCAGTAATCTGGGTACATGTCCAGCAATGCAGCATGGGTACCTTTTAGCAATGCAGCGTGGGTACCTTTCAGCAATGCAGCGTGGGTACCTTTTAGCAATGCAGCTTGGGTACCTTTTAGCAATGCAGCATGGGTAGCTTTTAGCAATGCAGCGTGGGTACCTTTTAGCAATGCAGCTTGGGTACCTTTTAGCAATGCAGCGTAGGTACTTTTTAGCAACTCAGCATGGGTACCTTCTAGCAATGCAGCATGGGTACCTTTTAGCAATGCATCATGGGTACCTTTTAGCAATGCAGCATATAGGTACACATTAGAAAGAAGTCAGTCAGTGTCATGGAGATTATCGTCAAGTTGGGCAAGGAAAAAACATCATTACCCTATACTCAACTAATATGTTATATCTTCATTAAACATCTCAGTGTATGTATTTTACCTGAGCACCCGAAGCAGCAGGAACTTCCTGAGGCATCCACACTAAGAAGACAACACTGACAAGGAGGATAAAACATTCCAAAATACCACCAAAGTCACGAATCACAGCATTAGGAGTAAAAAATAAACCATCTGCTAAAGTCTGCAAAAGAAATAATGTCAAAACTGTTTGAGGTGCTTCTCTAATAACAAAAGAATTAATAATCAATACTGTATGTTTTTACTGCCATTCTAATAATTCTATTATTTTAACCAATGAAAGATGTAGATTATATGAAATGTTATGAGAATATTTAGCATGTTAACATGTTATCTACTGAGTAAAGACTAATTTTAAAGGATATACATGTATGAAAATAATTCTGGTTACATTCAATCTGATCTTAAAAAAACATTATGGTCCAATTACCGGGTATGTTCAATGTTTAAAAAATAACCTTCTCTGTATAACCAAGATTCCAGTCCCAAATGGTGCTTGATTATGATGCCATCCAGCCATCTTAATATTGATTTTCAAACAAATACACATGCATATGTACAGGCATGCCTGAGAAACAGTTGAGAACAGGTCTAAATGATTTTTGGTGTTTCTTGGGACTGAAATTGCCACCAGTAGGTCCGCAAAAAAGTTTTGAAGTAAACAACTTTGGACACCCAAGTATTGAGCATGGAACACATGTGATCAAACTTATCAGTCAAAGGTCAAGTTCAAATTCTTACCTTGACAATCATCTCAATACTCATACATATAACAAATGCGTACTCTGCTATCTGTAATACTGGTGTGTTCATCACTCGTTGTTTTGGAGTTTCATACATCATTGACATACATGCCAATACAGTCACAAAGATCATGAACCAATCAAGGTAACTCACTAAGCCAAGAATATTGCTGAAATATTGCCACAATATAATTAAATGAGTACTACAAGTAAACTGATGTAATTGCACAAAAGACAAATTTCAGGGGGAAAAATCTATATGGTAATGAAGATTTCACAGTGATTCTCAAGTCAATGACAACAAGTCATTGAAAATGACACAGTCCCCGTTAAGTTCTCTCTGTGCTCGTCATATTAAAGCGAAGGGGTTGTCGCGAGCGTGTCCTTGAAACTTGAGTTCCAAGTAG